CGAAAACGGAACCTATTTCCGTCTGATTATCTTGGCAATAGATGAGTTAGCCTTCGTGTTTCTTTATGTTTTATCTACCATTTTGTAGCTCGTAAAATTCTCTATCGAATGGTATATAATAGTTGGGGTTTTGTTTGAGTATGATAGGAAAAGTTTTTTACGAAAGCGGGGATGGGTCGATTTTCGCATAAGAAGCCATAGGAAAAAATGAGTATTTTTGCAATAACTCAGGAACAGCTCGGCCAATCATGCTCATCTTCGAACTCGACCGAGACATTGTTAAGACTAAACTGTGTAGAAAATTTCATCGCGATTGAACTCTCCTTTCAAAAGTTATCCTGTAAACGGACGGCCGGACACACTGACCGATTCTAGAGTGTACTCACTTTTTGAGGACACAAAAATCAACTTCTGTTCTGCTCATTATACCTTAAACTTGATAGCGCACTTTTATTATGTTTGCTAGTTTTCCAATTTTTGGATAGATTTGTCTAAAATACTGTGAAACAGATGAAATGTTTCTTTTTAGATTTTACATAGAATATTTATCGTACAGTTGAGGAACGTTTCAGCATGCATGCGACTCCTTTTGCTCGATCAAGATACTAAAAATTCAATTACCATCTTGGTATCCGAGGAATTTTCGCAGCTTTATGCTGACGTAGAGTCGAAGACGACTTCACACTTGCAAAAGTCATACTTTTTTGTAAACGAGCCTGAATGTTGTAAAAATTTCAGAATATTTTCAGTTCTATTACATCTCCAAACATGTCAACAACAATACCTCGAAAGACAAGAATGGGCTTCTTCTCCCTTAATATTTTAATATAAAATAACAATTATGCAACATCCAGCGTTTGAATTATATTTTCAGTTTTTCTGATTCCATGTGTTTAGCATGAAACATAAAAAGTGAGAAGATGAGAAGAAGTTACAGAATTCATAGTTTCTTTACGAATGTGCTATGCATTCTGGGATATCATGATCGATCTTTGTAGACCTTAAGAAGTTCTTTAGGGTTAAAAAGAAAACAATCATAGTTTGTTATAATTACAGATATGTTCAAGTGGATTTGTTTCACCTGAATGGATTGCTTCGTTGTTCAATTCAGAAACAACAAGTTTCAGTCCACTTGATTTTCGTCTGACGGCAGCAGCACAGTTTCGACTAATCGCGATTACCTGCAGGAAAGTCACGAAGCAAATAGATCAAATACTACGATATTCTTTGTCTCAGCGTATCATGACTCCTCAGCTCCTCACACCAGCTACCATCAATACACAAGTCATATCTTTCGTCCATGAGTTAGGGATAATGTTAATATACTGGCTTGTACGAGCAGACGCTCAAGTTTATTTAACATGGCTCACCGCAATGGCTGGTATTATCTCAGCTGTACATACGAATGGATTCCAAATGATCGAACCAGGTTCCAACCAGTCCTTAGTTGTGTCCAATTTTTATCCTCTTTATGACAATGTATCGTTTACTGCGGTGAGTCATTCATGCTAAGGAAAATACAGAAGTATACTTGCTCATCTCATATCCTTAAACAACGACTCTCGACTAATAAATCTTCGAAATAAAAAAAAAATTGACAACTTAGTGTATCAATATCAAGACCGAAACAACTGACCTTTTGACTTACATGACTTGAATGAGTTTAAAGTCACAAAAGTCAGTTGCTTTCTTTCAGAATTTCGCTCAAATTCACTGTAGTTGTCAGGTTCACGTTAAGTTACTAAAGCAAGAACAGCTTTCTATGGTCTAGTTGTTAGTGATATTCACAAACACGAAGATCTTCAATGTATAAAATCGATATTGTAGCGCAATGCGGTGCATTATGATATCTATGATAAGTTTGACACTAAAAAATTGTCATCATCACAATTGACCAAGGTGAAAATTAATGAGACGTTTTCTTTTGATTCTTCTTCGACCACATTCAATGTAAATGTATTTTACCTCTGCAGAATTGTTTATATTGAGAGAACCTGTGTGAAAAAATGGTATATTTAATAGAAAGTTAACAATATACATATAATTGACATATAAGGAATTCAAGTAGAATATTGAATACTGCTTAGTCCTATTTTTTAGCTATGGGAAGGTCAGTTAGTTTCTAAAACTGCTAATAAGATTTCGAGACGGTGATCTATATACAATATGTTATAATTGTTTTATTGGAGGCTCTGCCATATGCGTTGACACGTTGAATTGTAAAAATTGAGGTTTGAAATTCTTATCTATGATAAGTGCTATAGATTTGATAATACTAGAAAATTTTCGGCAAAAAAATATTACTTTAATCAAAATAGTGAATATTCATCTCAACTCGGTTTATCTCCGAGGCCATTGAAAAATAGTTCGATAATGAAGATCCATCATCAAAACCGGAGAACATTAAAGTTACGGTTAACACTTTCAGAGAGCTATAAGAATTATCAAATTTCTATAAGTGCAGAATTGCAGATGTACAGTTAATTGCTCAATAATCCAGATGTATACAATTAACCCTTTCGCTAGAATATAATGCCATCGTATTTGAAATGACAGTTTTCAGCGGATATTTTTGGAAAATTCCTTACAGAAGTATGGCACTTTCTCACTAAAATCATTATGATGTGCGAAAACATAATACAAGACCATGTCTTGCTAATCTGAGGGAGAAGAAATTAGGAATACGCGCGAACTTTGCCAAAATGATTATGACACTTAATTCACATATATGGCTATGAATAATGGTGAGTGAATGCTTCTAGTAGTTTTATTGGGATAAATAAAAATGAATTTGAAGGCTCATCCGATCTATTATTACGAACTAGTCTTTTATTTCTTGTTGACGGTAAAAATCGTGATAAAAGGAACAGTGACTTACAAGGGAACATTCCCAGATGCCGGATCGCTTTTCAGCCGGGGTTTCGCGCATTTTGTAGCCCATAGTGAGCTGTGTCTATGGGTAAAAAAGTTCGGGTTTCTGGCTTGTTTCTGAGGAGATATCGAGCTCTTAGTGAATTTTCTCTATAGTACACCTACACTGGCAGCAAAGCTATACTTTCGAATTTTGACCTGAAATTTTGCCTGCATAAAGGCCTCAGCTAGACTAGTTTACATAAAAAATTGCAGAAGTTTTGAATAAAGTCTCTCTAAGACATGAAATTATCAAGGTATAGCCCCTTTTTCATCAATAATATATATAGTATGCATTTTTTTCAAAGCTTCATATCTTAGAAAGACTTTATTTGAAACTTCTGAAATTTTTTATGTAAACTATTCTAGCTGAGGCCTTTACGGAGGCAAAGTTTCAGGTCAAAATTCGAAAGTATAGCTTTGCTGCCAGTGCAGGCGTATTATGGAGAAAATTCACTAAGAGCTCGATATCTCCTCAGAAACAAGCCAGAAACCCGAACTTTTTTACCCATAGACACAGCTCACTATGAGCTACAAGATGTGCAAAACTCGGGCTGAAAAGCGATCCGGCACCTGGGAATGTTCCCTTGTTAGTTGTCCTTCTATTTAAATTTGCTATTGATCTCGAGCTAGATCAGGATTTTCTTGGTGTTTCCGAGTCTTATATGAGATAGCGATAATTTTGATTTTTAAATGGATTTTTGCATCTGAAAACTAGTTTTGTGACTCTGAGAATGATTAAATCATAGCTTCACAGTTTCTCTCCATTAAAGTATTGTATCAATAGGCTTTGGTTGTAAGAATCTGTTATGACAATCGAATACAAAACTATTCACAATTATACATTTGTACACCCTTTTGATAGCTACATTAGGTCTTATTCTTCGTATATTCTTTTGATCTTATAATATTAAGATAGAATTATATGCTTGTAGAATTCACCAGGCACATTTCAATTTTGCGACCCATTCAATATTGCAACATATAAAGCAGGCATCTACGAGTGGAGCACACAATCACGACCTTACTATCAGATGATGGACCCAGTTCCACTACCAATCTATTCCATACCTGGTATGAGGGTTGGATGCACGATATTCGGAGCACTAAGTCAGAGTACTTTCCAATGTTTCTTCTCGGATTCGTGCGTAAACAATACGGCACAGCTCATTTCGAATTTACCATCGAATTCTTGGCCAAAACCATTGAATTATTCAGCACTGATACATTTCTCAAACATGGCTACTTTTAAGGATATTGTGGATGAATTTCTAGTCGAAACTTGGAATGATAAGACAAACTTCGAAGGTTATTATGATAAATGTTCACCTCTTCAATGTACCTATAGAACTGTACACAAAAATGACTTTTTTTATCTTATTACTCGAGTTATCGGATTGTTTGGTGGTCTCAGCGTTGCTCTTCGTATTATAGCGCCTTTGATCGTCAAACTAGGTCGTGATGCTTTTGTGATTGTTTGTCATAGAAAAGAATCAACTGCTGACAATCAACAAACGCAGACAGGTACTAGTGAAAATATTGCTATTCTTTAAACAGAACGGGAGTTCTGTCGAACTTCCAGAAGATCTTACTTGATTGCTGAACTGAAAAGAGATATTTTCCTGGACTCATAAAAAGAATTCTTGCTTTGAAACCTCTTTAAGGTTACTTAGCTAATAACGAGATTCAATGTAGAAGCATTGAAATCTTCATGATTTAATTAAGTACCGTTGAGGGTTAGTACAAAAGTTTTTCAGATTTTGTATAAGACCCACAGGTTTTAAAGTTTCTATATTGAACGCTTTTCTTGTCTGTGAAATTTAGAAGAGATTCGGCAGGCAGCTACATCAACTGTGAAGTTAGATATTAGAACAGTATTTTTTATTATTCAATGGAAATACTCAGTTTTGAGTACCTGTATGTTGGAGCGAACATCAGAAGAAGATCGAGACAGATATTGTGATAATATGATGTCATAGAAACTTAGATCTGTACTCTGTCGAATATTGTTCCAATCATCAATGCTCAATGTTGTAGCTTTCTCGCTTTCGAATATCCTTCATTAGAAAGATTATTTTAAATTAACTTGCCAATGGTGACACCTTAAACGAAAGAAATTACAGCGCATGAAACGCCTAAAATTTCCTAAATTTTGGAAAAGATTATTTAAGATAACTGTAAAAGAATAATTGAAAAAGTAGTGTATACACTCCAATGCCCTTATTCTTTCACTAGTGGTACGTATTTATTTGAGAGGAGTATTATATGTTGTGATTGCTATTAGAATTCAATTATCAAAAAATAACAACTGTTTAAAATACCTTCTTATTAGATTTGACGATCGACCATGATACAAGAACCAATGAAGAGGGATTATCACAAGAAGGTAAATTCTATTAGGTCTTTTCTCACTTTAATATACATTATTGCAGGTTACTACACTCGTCTAAAACGGTTGGTTATTCTAATCAAGGATAAAGTACTGTCTTTGAATATCTTCGAGGTATGTATTTTTATCTTGTCCAATAGTAATTAATTAAGAACAATTGATAAACACTGCTTCGTCGTATCATCCCCTATCATTCGATTGAACATTTGTCAGATCATGAATTCATGATTCTAATCTAACAATATTGTTTATCAAATAAAATCGAACGAGAATGCTCAGAGATGTAAGGTACGATATGTACGTGACACTAGTATTATTCTTTTCACCGTATTCTCCGCTGATTCTCACTATCATTTACGCTCCAATATATCAAAGACTCAGTAAATACACGTACTGTAACATAAGACTTAGATTTTAGTAATTTCTAAAATCCTCAACTTGGTCTTTCCAAGAGCTGATGACAAGGTTTGACTAGCATATAACATTATCTTAACAAAGATTCGCTCGGTTAGAAATTTTAAGATTAATTTTGGACCAAAATGTCGAGACACAATAAAAATTTTATTTTTTCAGGCCGATTTAGACAACAGAATGCTTGGTGTGATCGCAACCCGTATTCATGTATTGCTGCTTATAGTCTGTGTGACAATACTGGCGCTGTATACGTCCTTCACGATCACAAGACATGTGATCACACTATCGATGCCATCTATTGCTACCTTCGAGAACCTGTACAACAATTATCCAACAACACTTACATGTCCTTGTTCCCAGGTAGCAGTGCCTTACAGCAGTATTCTCATAACTGAGAACTGGCGCTTTCATCAAGTAAGTAGTTTACAAATACAAATTAGTTTTGATGAAAGTCTTTTGAGGTATGTAACATCTGTTATAAAAGAACGCAACTATCGAGTGTCTTTTCAAATTCCAATTTAAAATAATTGCAAAAGAAAAAAAGATTAAGGTATTTCACAAAATGATCCACATTCACGTGAAATACTAATCTAACAGAAAAATGAATCTATACTGGAATATACAATACAATTCATACTATTGAGTAGTATTTACTGATATCATTAAATGGGACCGTTCATTTTCTCAATTAATTTTACAGCTTTGAGGTGGTAAATTGTCATTATACAATGTTATGTTAGTTGTCATAATAACAACAAATTCTATTGGCACATAGCCGCCTAAACCCATGATTGATGTGTCTTTATCCATTTGAACTTCGAAACTTTGGTCTTTCTCATAAATACGACAGATTTAAATTCTTAAAAATTATTAAGGTAAACGGTTAACTTTAAAAACCTAATTTCCAAATAGATTTCTGATGCGGGCGTATCTTAAGATCTGGTTGTGGATAGAATATTATCATAGCAATCTATCCGTATAGTATGCACTGTATCTGTAGACTACGCCGTATATTCACATTCATATTAGAAATAGTTAATATAAGTTCCATTCAACTTTCGAAAAGATGGTTCTGTAGGAACAAAGAATTGCTAGTTCACTCTGAATATATATTAGATTTAAATCCTTAAAAATTCAAATTTTTGCGAAAATTTATTTACAAATTAGTTTTTTTTTACAGTTAATCTTTTAATTTAATTACTTTTCAGAATTCAAACTTATCGTTAACATGAGAAATCATCGATATGTAGAACCCAAATGACAAGAGGTCCAACTATCGCGCGGTCACATGATGTACCACCAATTTCATTTATTATAGATAAGAGAACTAACAAACAGCTTTATTTTTTTCACAAGTCTTCGTTTTTTACTCGAAACCTAACCTGGTGAAGTTATTTGAAAATTTTTTTTCGGAAAATCTGTCAAATATCTGTAACTCTCAGATTCATTATATTGTCTTGGTGGATCTCGAAGACTTGGACACAATTTATCAGTCTTTCTTTTGGCTACTAGAAACTTTTTTTTCATTAATTATGAAGAAACATTCTACCAGAATAGATAATTCTGATTTAGATGCATCAATAAATAAACATCTTCATTCGATTTATACTGCACTGTATCGCAGACTATTCGATACACGATGGAAAAGTTATGCCTTCAATAACACTATAGAAAATGAAATGGGCTGCAAATTTGTTTCTCTTTAGCTAACGTCCAACAATGAAGGAATTATTAGGCTAGAATGATCGATCAGCAGGAAATTTCTCAATCATCGAGCAATCAATAGAAGATTATAGAAGATACAGTGACTTTAGAATCACAAAAATAATATGGGATTGTTATTTGATGAAATTGCAAAAGAATAAATCGACACATTCAACATATACAAGTTCATTACTATCGAATTTTTCATAAAAATATTATCGATTAATTTTTTAATAATGATGTCATTATTGACATACTACCGACCTCATCATTAAAAGATTGACTACAGCCAAGTTACACATACTGAAAAGTTTTGACCTATTTTTCCGAGATATCACCAAAGAGCGAGGGTATTCTTTCAGTGATTTCGCAATCACTTATATTACGCCTGATGATTTCAAATTTGCTTTTCATTTACAAATGTGTCCCTTGTAACCTTCTATCGATTGCTCAAAGCTGTTCTTCTCTCTGATTTCCTGTCTGAAAGTTATAAACTTTTCTTCGCATACATTCTTTTCAATAGGGATGCAACGGTGACGGTGGCCACCGGAGCCACCGGTCATCGGTTCACCGTTCACCGGTCCACCGGTCATCGGTTCACCGTTCACCGGTTCACCGTTCACCGGTCACAACGTACTACAATTAAAGCTACTCAGGTTGATCTGATGCCTATCAAAAGTGAAGGTGCTCATTCCATAATCGAGAAGCGCATCCTCAGTCGCTATCCATCTGGCTAGTATGATATATGATTGTATTTCACAAACTTCATAAGCCGTTTTNGCTGATGATAATCCATATTTTCTTGTTTCAAATAAAGGCAAGCCTTTACTAGTTTTAAATGGTATCGTCTTAAAAAAAAAGTAAAGAAACTAAAACAAAAAAATATTGGGTTTGCCAAGTAGCTGAATGTGGTTTTTACGTGCGCACTAACATCCAAGATATTGTATTAAAGGTCACCGGCAATCACAATCATTTACCACATCCAGAAAATATAGCATTAAAAAGTTTTCGTACTAAAGTAAAACAACGTGTGATGAAAGAAACAACTCCAATCACAAAGATTTATGAAGAAGAAGTTGTTGCATCTCAAATGCGACCACAAACATTAGCAATTATACCATTAGCACGAGAACTACGTAAGGATACAATTATTAGAACACGTATTTGTATATTGAAAATTTCATTCTAGAACCCGGTTTAACATATGCTAGAAGAAAAATGACACCAATTTTACCTGATTCATGTATTTTTTATATTCCTGAATCTTATCGCACAACGTTTAACAATGAATTATTTCTAGCTCGAGACATACTGATTCGAAGAAGAAAAAGAATGCTTATGTTTTGTACTAAAGCACAATTAGAGCTGCTATTCGATAGTCCAGTGATAATGATGGATGGCACATTTAGTGCACTCCACCCTTTTTCGACCAAATATATTCTATACATGTTGTCAAATTCGACGCTAGTAATTAATTTGTTATACTTAGTTTACCTGACTTATTTTTCATTGCAGGTTTTCCATGTGCATTCTGCATATTACCTAATCGGAAGAAATATACTTATCTTGAAATGTTTAAGGAATTAAAAAATTTGGCTACACAATTAAATAGAACATTTGAACCTGCTCGTATTTTAACTGATTATGAACCTAGTATCATTCGAGCAATATCAGCCGAAGTAATTAACTATTGAAAGAGAAAGTAAAAGTGCCCTCTTCTACTTTTAGTTTCCCAATACAACTCATAGTGGATGCTATTTTCATCTGACTCAAGCTATTTATAGACGTGTACAAAATCTCGGTTTAGCTAAAAACTATATCGAAGATATTGATATTCGTACATGTGTTCGAAAGCTAATGGCTTTGGCACTATTACCATTGGACAAAGTCCAATTTGCATTTGATGATTTACGTACAAACTTATCACAAAATACTACACAAACTTTATATCAATTACTTTTGTATTTCGACAACCAATGGATCAAAAATACTCTATTAGCACTTTGGAATGTTCATGGATATAGTCATCGTACAAATAACATATGCGAAGGTAATTGTTCTCTTAAACTATTCTGACATTCATAGAAATTTCTCTGTAGGTTTTCATAATCGTCTGAATCAACGTCTTCAACGATCACATCCAAATATTTGGTCTTTTATCAAATGTTTACAAAGTGAAGAAGCAAAATTTCGACATACGTTATTACAAATCAATGCCGGTGCTCAAGGTCGCTCAAAGACTGCAGCAACAACTGCAATACAACAACGTATTAATACTTTAAATGAATGCTATACCAATAATGAAATTGATCTTAATGCATTATTAGATGGCTTATCGTTAACTGTAGCAAAACAAAGTAAATAAACTTTAACAGCTCATGTACATCATTATCATATCATTTTTTTTCTTTAGTTTTTTATCTGGTCACTATATCATCTAAGTCTGATACTTAAAAAAATTTTATTTTCAATGCAGTAATAAAGAAATTTACATTTGAATATTCTAAAGAAATTTATTTTAATGTTTTCGATATTTGTTTTTCGACATTTTTCATTTCGATGTTTTTTTTTCGATCTTTTTTTTCTTCGACGTTTTCAGCAATTTCGATCTTTCTATTGTTCGATATTTTTTTATTTCGACGTTTTTAGTTTCGGCCTTTTTTATTCCATTCAACACAATCATTTAAATTAAATTTGTTTGTTTCATTAATTACATTATCGTGATACTGCTTCATTTTTTTATTTGCAACGATCATATAATTATCGGTAGCTACTTTTCGTACAAGATCATGTTTTGTTTGTTGTGGTTTAATTGGTGATGAATGTGGTAATGAAGAATCAACTAATTGCACTTGCAGCAGCGTCATCAGATAATTGTTGAACAAGTTGAATAACATCTTTATCAATAATATCAGCATAATCATGAAAATCATCTCTTTTATCCTCTGTAATATCATCATTAAAATCATTAACTGGTGTTGGTAAACTTTCTTCATCAATAACTTCATTTTCTTTCACTAGTTTCCAAAAATTTGAATCGGAACGAGGTGGTTGCCCAAACATAACTTGGTATGGAGTAGTTTTAGTGACACCTGATAATCTTGTATTAATACCATAAACTACCGGTAATGAACCATCTGACCAGTGTAACAAATTCTGTAAAGTCATCCATTTACCAAGAGCGTCGCATAAAACATCGTTGATCGTTCAACGCAACTTTGGCTTTGTGGGTGTCTTGGTCTACCTCTAATAAAAACCGTATCTAGAAATAAATCTTTTAATTCATATATCACACTTGCGACGAATTCCCGTCCACTGTCACTATGCAATATTTTTGGTGGTCCAAAGACGAAAAATAATTCGCGTAATTTTAATGCAACATCACTAGCATTTTTGTTTTTTAATGGATACGCCCAAGTAAATTTACTGAAATGATCGATGCAATTTAAGGTCCAATTATAAATAATGTCTGGATTTAATGCATCAGATTTTGTTCTCATATCGATCAAATCAATTTGTAATCTTGTCATTACTTCAAGTGAAATAATAAGTTTGGTAATTACATGTTGTTTGAGTAGTTTTCGTGTTTGACACGGAACATATTGTTTTATAAATATTTCAACAGAAAATCGTGGAATCCACGAATAATGAGAATTAAGTTCATGGATTGTTTTATCACGACCCCCATGAGAAACGGTAGCATGTGCTTCACTGATTACATTAAATTGTAATTAAGATGAAATGTTGTTTGACCCAAAAGATAAATTTCGGAGAAAACGATCCTGATGCTTGTCCCTTGGATATAAATAAATATTTAATAACATTATCATAAACGCCTTGTTTTATAACACTTTTTTCTCGAAATTTTTCACTTAAAGAATCAATATGTTTTTTTACTTCTTGATAATAAAGAACGTCACCGTTATCGATTTGGATGGTGATTGAATCAAATTCAGACATTTCTTTTTATTAGATTGTAATGCATACATCAATATTTATACTACTTATCGACGCGGACGCTACGATTAATTTCTCCTCTTTTTTTTGAGTCTATTCTACCTTTTGTCAAGCACGTGCTTGTATGAATTTATCTCCAATCAAATTCTAAATGTGTAGGCAAATTTAGAATTTGCCTGAATTCCAATTTTGTCTACAACATATACAATAAATCACTCGACGAAAGTTCATTCATATTTTATAACGCTAAGTTAACTGTTTTTCTTTTTTCTTTTTTCTTCTCTCTTTATTATTAATATCTTTAATTCATTGGTTGATAGATGCTGACAATGTTGCAAAATCTCTTTCATATTTATGATGCCGAGAAATCGATACTCTTGAATTTTGGAACATAATTACAAGCAATTAAAAAATTTTTAAATATCTAAATAAATTACTGATCTCGCTTTTTATTTTATTTAAGATTTTGGGAAAAGATAATAAGAAGTACTAGTTTTTTCTATGATCTTGGTATCTGGAATCTTCAAGAAGATCTTACAAAGACCTTAGATACAGATATATTTGATACGATTAAGATATATAAAACCAATTATCTTTCAAAGATCTTGACAAGATCTTTTTTACAAGATGTTTCACTAAGATATATTGTTGTATGAAACTAAAAACTGCACACAGATAATAATAAGTTATCTTGCAAGATTAGAAAAAAAAACGAATCAAATACCATCAACATTTCTCTTCAGCTAAAGCAAGAACGAGCACAGTCTGGCATGGAGTATAAACCTAAGGAAAGACAAATAAATTCTATGAATAAAAATCTTCATTTAAATATACCTGAAATGAAAATGGTCGATCATCCCACATGATATTCTCAGCAACAAAGATTTGTTCATCATTAATTCTTCCATGTCCATCAAAAGATTTTGCATCCGAATCAAGTACAATTTTATATCTAAAGGACAAACTTTCTAACCAGACAAAAAAAGCAAGAGTTACTCATTTTTACTTTCCACTTTGACCACATCCAATACGATAATCAGCGTAACTGTTACTGCCATGAAAATTAAATATAAACATCAGACCACGATCACCACGTTCGAATACTATAACTTTATCACCTTCATTTTTCCGACTAACGAACTACAAAACAAAACTTATTTAAATTCTAATAGTTAATCGAAATGTTTACTGTATTTGTTGCTGTTAACCATTTATATTCTTCTTCCAAATCATTCATTGCTTTATCCCATGCCTTAAGATATTTATATCTCAATGTATCATCTTCACATAAATAAAAAAGCCGACGAGCATATTTATAACTTTCATTATTTCCTTCTCGAGGAAAATCAAGCCATTCTGGATGACCAAATTCATTTCCTATACAAAAATCTCTACTAAACTATTCGCTCTCTTCCTTAAAGTACGAGGGCTGATAAGACCATTTTTTGCCCCCAACAAAATTAGATCTTTTTTCTCGATTTGAAGTAAGACATCACTCCTGGTGATATTCCACAGGTTTTTTTCGTATAGCTCACCAAAAGACTTTTGGAACCTGTGGTTCTCCATAGGGATCTCTGAAAACACTTTTTTTTGATTTCGTTTAAACACATATTTATTGATAGTCAAGTATGTTGAGATAGTAGATTAGAACTAATGTGAAATTTGGACTGAATCCTTAATTTCGAATGCTCTATCCGATGGTGAATTCAAAAAGCCGAAGAAAATGGTGCGTCAAAGTTTTTGAGGGCTTTCTGGAAAACCTTTCTAAGATTCCAAGGATTTCAATAAGAACCGACTTACCCATTGTGTTCAGCACATCAAATAATCTTTGTATACAATTCTTTGGTAATCGAAATATTTCTAATATGCTGGATCAAAACATACATTTCTATGATTAGCCCATAGATGCTGAACACAATGGCGAAGTCGATTCTTATTGAAACCTTTGGAATCTTATAAAGGTTTTCCAGAAAGCCCTCAAAAACTTTGACGCACCGTTTTCTTCGGCTTTTTGAATCCACTATTGGATAGAGCATCTAAAATTAAAAATTCAGTCCAAACTTTACAGCAGTTCTAATCTGCTATCAAAAGATTTGGAAACTTTAATCTCTGTGGAGCTTAGTGAAAAAGCAGGTTTTTGACCGATAATCCCAGATTTTGTAGCCGATGATGCTCTGAAGCAGCTTTCATTGTTCATATTCAACAAGATCACATTGTTTTAGCTATTATGAATGTTTTGTCACAGGGTTAGAATAATGAATGAAACTACAGACCTAAAAAATCCAGATATAAAGCTAAACGAGCGTCTGAAAAAGGGCTGATTTTTGGTTTACTAAAGATCCCTATGGGAAACCACAGATCCCAAAAACCTTTTGGTGAGCTATACGAAAAAAAACCTATGGAATATCACCAGAAGCGATGTCTTACTTCAAATCGATAAAAAAGAACTAATTTTGTTGGGGCGCAAAAAAATGGCCTTATCCGTCCTCGTCCTTTACCTTCAAAATTCAACCAAGCTTCTCCACCTAATGCATACGTTACTAAACGAGTCATTTTATGTAAAGCTAAACCACGTTCAACAACTGGTGTTCGTTCAGTAAGAACCGACATATGAGTGTAAATTTGGTCATTAAATAACCAGTGTGCCATTGTTTTATCACCAACAAGTGCTTGATCATGACTTTCAGCATAAGCTACATTTTTTTCTGACCATCGACGATTAGTTAATACCCATGTTATATGACCCATTTCCCAATCTTCATCCCTTATGTCTCTAAAGAACTTTAAAAAAAAACGAAATACGTTTTTACTCTTAAGAAAACACAAACTTTAATCCAAAGATCCGGAATCGCCATAGCTAAACGATAATCAAAACCAGCACCACCTTCAGCAAGTGGGCGGCATAATGTTGGCATGCCTGACACTTCCTTTCAAATAAATGATTTACAATTACAGGTTTTTTTTTCGATAATCACCAAACATACCTCAGCAATTGTTATTGATTCAGGAAAAAGTGTTTGAATAACATGATGAGCTAATTGAAGATAATTAAATGAATCAGTATCCGTTGCTAAACCGAAATATTCTTTATATGTACCAGAAAAATTATGTCCTGTAAAAGAAGTTTATTAGATATGAGTAAATTCAATTAGAAACTACCAAGGCCATGTGAATGATAAAGCATTGATGACACACCATCAAATCGAAATCCATCAAATTTATATTCTTCTAACCAATATCGAATATTAGAAAGAAGAAATCGCATTACTTCACGTCTAAATTAAAAATACTAATCGATATATTTATATGCAAAAAAAATCAAAATTCTGTTCTCATTTCTTAATTCTCACATATTCAGACCCATGGGCAAAAAAAAGTTTATCTTTTTTATCATCTAATACGTTGTATTAGATAAAACATAATATATCACAAGATAGAGTGTGGAAAGCTCTACAATTTACAAAGGATAGCTGATTTTATAGTTGGACTTTTTGTTTTTAAAATGGACAAATTTTTGACGCTGCAAACAAGATCATTTTTTGGTACACGATGAATTTCTTTCTTTGTGGCTTCGGTTAATCAGTCATATACAAGACCATAATCGATGGTCGAATTAAGACCATCCAATATATGTTTCAAGTACAACAATATGCAATCGGATAAAGTTAAAAACAACAATTGATTGATGAATTTTGTTTTTTTGTTTAATACACTCTATTAAGTGATGAGAGAAAGGAACTTTTGTTTGTTCATCGGAGAGTACAGAAGTGCGGCGAGATCTTCAATTTTGTAGATATGTAAACTTACGCCAGATAATTAAAACATCGACTATCCCAAAGCGTATGATAACCACGTGGACTATCATGAAAAAAGCAACTATCTGTACCATCAAACATATTAAGTCCATCAAGAACATTTTTTGAACTATGGCTATGCACAAGATCAAGTATAACAGTTAAGCCGTGTTTATGTACCTCATCAACTAATGCTTTTAATTCTTCAGGGGTACCATAACGGCTAGAATATAGATAAACTAATCAACAAAATAAATTATTTCAATAAATAAACCTTGATGCAGCAAAAAAATTGGTTACTTGATAACCAAAACTAGCATAATAAGAATGTTCCATAATAGCCATTAATTGAATTGTATTATAACCTATATGAAAAAAAAACATCTATTTATTAAAATTCGAGAACATTATTATAAATAAACCTTGTTTGACAATATGAGGAATAACATTAATACGAAAATTTTCATATGTAGAAACTTCTTCTTTTGATGAGCTAATTCCAACATGAGCTTCATAAATTTTTAATCGATCACGTTTTTTTGGTTGAGAATATTTAAATTTATAAATTTGATCCTCCGGTGGATTATAAAATACTCCATGATATACATTGGCTATTTCTGGACGTTGTACATAACGTGACCATGGACAAATACGATCAACTAATTCGCCATCAGAAGTTTCCAAAAGTAACTAAAAGAAAATTTTTATTTGTAGACGATGAGATTTTTTGCATATTACTTTTATTGCTTGACCATGTTTGATTGCTGGTGATCCATCGGGTAAAGGTGGAACTGTACCTCTCCATACACCCCATTGATCACGTGTAAATGGATATTGTTTTTCTTGCCAATTATCTAGATGAAAAAAAAAGAGAAAGATTATTTTGATAAAACTTCCAGTACAAACTAAAATCTCCACGAATATACATTGCTTTTGCACCGGGTGCCCATTCTTTAATATTTATTTCATTTGTTTGGAAATTAACATGAATACCGAAGTGTTTATAAGCAGATGTAAATACATCGATACCTTGTTCTTCAGTTTCAAGTTGTTTAAGAAGTTTTTGAAAGATGTAATAACTAAAAACAAAAAGAAAACAAATCATCATTGATTTTACATGATTTTTTTTACCGTCTTCGAATTTCATCTTGATATGGTGCAAGATATGGATCAAGTTTAAGTAAACGATCTAATTCAGGTACAACAACATTCGCGGGGTCAAGCAAT